AAACCAAAAAAAAAAAACAAACACACTGCCCTCTAGTCGTTTCCGACTAATAGTGACCCCTCCCTGGGTTTTGATATCTCTATGGAAACAGATTGCCCAGTCTTCCTTCCGAGGAGTGGTTGGTGGGTTTGAACCGCCAGCCTTTTTGTTAGCAGTCAAGTGCCTTCGGCACTGCGCCCCCAGAGCTCCCAGTGGACAGTTTTCTAGGCTGAAGAATGTGGCAGCACGGATCCTTACAGGAGGCCCACTCACCTCGTCGGGGCTGGAGGCTTGGTAGGTACGGTTCTCGTCGCTGAAGTCCTGGTCTGCCTCTGCATGTTCCGTCTCCCCGGTGCCCCCAGCTCGGAACTCATACACAGGTGTCACGTTGTGACACAGTGCGATGGCCTTCACAGCTTCATGAATTCGGCTGTTGACACTCCTTCTGACTTTGGGAGCTGAAGACTGGGCCTTCCTCGGTGGAGTGGAACTGGCTTGGTTTCCAGCGCTGCCTTGAGAATATGCCTTTAAGACAGGAAATGCCACAGGTGAAGATACAGCAAGGAGAACCGCATGGGCGTGGGATTATTAACACACTGTTACAGGACAGCTAAGGAGCCAGAGGCAAGAAAAGTAGTTTGATTTGATGATCGGATTCTGTTCTGTTCCTGGGAGCAGTGACTTCTCCCTCAGTGTGGCACAGGGCTCTGCTATTTCCTGGCTGGCAAATGCATCAGTACTTGCCAGGGCAGTGAGAAGCCTGGCAATCTCCCATATGCAAGCATGTTAACTGCAACGCCGATTTTTCTAAGTCCTGAACAATTTCTGTGTACTAATTGCTTCTAAAAACATACGAAATCACAGAACAGAATGGAATAGAATGCTCACAACTGCTTTTATTTTTCCAAAACATGCAACATGCTGTAGGTAAAACGGCGCGATGCTGAAATGCAGGACCGAATTTTCCAGAGTCCTCCCTTAAAAGCAAATCCATCCACCTTCTAATTGTCTCTGAATTTAGATCGTCTCCTTTCCTTGGTAGGGACAGCTAACCTTTGTTTTTCCTACTCAGAAAAAAACAGACCCCAGGTCCTGTTTTAAGACCATGTCCTCTGGAAGCCACTGCCCATTTGGCATCCCATGAGTGCTGGCGCATGTCAGACTTGGCTGTGTCTGAGGGATCCTGTCTCATCACGGGAAAGGCCTTTTTGGGTGTGAAGTGACAATCTCCCTTGATCCTGAAACTCCCATTACACAATCCTGCCACTAACTTCAGAGCGGCTCCTGAACTCTTCCTGAGAAAGGGAGCCGCTACACTGGTGGGTGCAGAGCAGCTGAGCTGTGAACTCTCTGCCCGTCAAATAACAGTCCCGCTAATGAGGGCTCGGACTCCTCTGCTCGTCTGCTGGGCCCCCCGGCGAAGCCCCTTGCCCTCGGTATCTGCATGCCACCAGCACAGAGACCATCACAGCCTCCGTGATAGAGTAAGGAGCTTCACTCCTTGTGGCTTATGACGCTTCATAATTAATTTCACACAAATTCTATTAATGCTTATGCCTTCGCTCCCCCAACACCTCCAGTGGGAAATAGGATCAGGTCACAGAAGATCTAGTTACATTATGTGGACCTCGTAGCCACCTGCTGTCTCACTAATAAAACAGAATGCAACAGGGACTGAAACCAATGCTACTTCAACGTCCTGTCTAAACAGCTAACCACAGGGCAGCTTTCAGGAAAACTAATTTTTCAATAAATATGGAATACTTGTTGTTTTTATTTAATGACCCATCTTTTCTGTTTTTGATGTTTTCTAGCAAAATCCTAACTTATCTGGAAATACTAAAATCATATTCATGGACAATATGAATTAGTTTTACCAATAACAAACGTCACTTGGTACATTTCAACATGCACACAGACGACAGAAGTGGAGTGTTATTCCTGTTTCATAAACATTCTAGATTACAAAGGGTTCTGACATTACACTGTACAGCTAAGTGAACATCACATCCAAACTACTCAATGGCTGGCTGTGTGTGCCCGTGCACAGGTCTCCATGTATGAATGTTTACATATGATAAATATACACATGTTGTTGTTGTTATGTGCCATCGAGTCGGCTCCGACTCATAGCGACCCCTCCTTGAGTTTCTGAGGCAGTATCACTACAGAAGTAGATTGCCTCATCTTCCTTCCGAGGAGTGGCTGGTGGGTTTGAACCGCCAGCCTCTGGTTAGCAGTCAAGTGCCTTAGCCACTATGCTACCAGAGCTTCCAAATACACACATAGGATTGGACTTTTCCCTCTCACAGCATCGCAAAACAAAACAAGAATAAGTACCAGACTAGTCTCAAATGCGGTTTTAAACACTATGGAAGAAAGAGGAAGCTCCCAAAAAATCGAACCCAAGGCTGACAACAATACTGATGGTGGGCTCTCTCAGTGTGGGAATGCTGCCAAGAAAGAGTGGAATTTGGTGTCCTCTATGCAAAACCAAGCGTCAGACAAATGCCCACAAATGCAGCCAGTCCACTGGGCTCAGACAGCTTTGCTTGGGCTGGGTATCAGGCACCTGGTGGGCAGAACAACACACCACATACACAGTCACACCTGACCTGGATGCCTGTTGTTTGCACTGTTGAACCTGGCAGCATAGGTGGCGATGTGTGGACTTTTGTGCATCACACAGATCAGTACACAGGGAGAAGAGAGCCCAGGGGACACATGGTCTCCACACAGAGTACAGTTGTGTGGTGCAAGTCTAACACAGATACAGATTAGCACACAGGGAGAGGAGAACACAGGGGACACACAGTCTCCTGAGGACAGTCATGTGGTGGCATTCTACCATAGACATAGATCGGTACACAGGGAGAGGAGAGCCCAGGGGACACATGGTCTCCTCTGTGTCAAGTTTTGTGGTGGTGTTCTAACAGAGGCACAGATCAGCACACAGGGAGAAGAAAACCCAGGGGACACATGGTCTCCGCCACGTAAAGTCTTGTGGTGGTGTTCTAAGAGGGACACACAGACCAGTACACAGGGAGAAGAAAACCCAGAGGACACACTGTCTCCTCACAGACAACAGTCAGTGGTGGTGTTCTAACAGAGTCCCTTGGATTGCTGAACCTGAGGATGCTGAATGTGTAAACTCCAAATTACATGGCAAATGAAAAGACATCCAAACAAACGAAGGACATACACTCCTTGTCACCAGAGTCATGTGATCGAGAAGCCTCAGACACTCATTGGAAGATGGCACATGTTTCCAGCCCTCACTCACTGCCATCGAGTTGCATCCAATTCACAGCGACCCCTCCTTGGGTCTCCGAGGCGGTATCACTATGGAAGTAGGTTGCCCAACCTTCCTTCTGAGGAGTGGCTGGTAGGTTTGAACTGCCAGCCTTCTGGTTAGCAGTCAGATGCCTTGGGCACTATGCCACCAGAGCCCCTAGCCCTAAGGGATCTGAACATAGTCTATGCATACAGATGGCTCTCACATGTCTCAGACAGGCAGTGTGGTACATATATGGTCCAGAGGAGGTGCAGATGGTTAAGCACTAGGCTACTGACTGAAAGGATGGAGGTTCTAGTCCATCCAGAGTCACTTCTGAAGAAAGGCCTGGCAATCTACTTCCAAAAAATCAGCTGTCAAAAACCCTGCGGAGCCCCCTTGGGGTGCTGAGAACTGGGGTTCACTCGACAGTGCATCGACTGCACTGGGTTACACTGGCTCAGGCCACTGGCCACCTCTGCAGAGCTGGCTTGTCCACACACCTCAGTAGATGACACACCTTCTACACTGCCCAATGAAAGCCAGTCATTCCTGTTCTCGTATCCTCAGAGAGCTATGCTGTGGTGCTACTGAAGGCAACAAACTTAGGGTTGTGTTCAAGCCCTCAAGAAGGAAGCAGCAGCTAGGGTTGACAGCTGGAACATGGAGGGGGAAGGACAGGAAGTGAGCTGAGTGGTTTGGAAGAACTAAGGGAGATAAACTTGTCTGTCAATTTGTTGTACTGTGGTGGCTTGCATGTTGCTCTGAGGCTGGAGGCTGTGCCACTGGTGTTTCAAACGTCAGTAGTGTTGTCAAGGGTGGATGGGTTTTAGCGGAGCTTCCAGACTGAGACAGACTCGGAGGAAGGAAGAAGCCATCCACTTCTCAATTGGCCAATGAAAGCCTTATGAGTAGCAGTGAAACACTGTCTGATATATTACTGGACAACTTTATGAAAGCCCTGAAACACTGTCCGATACAGTGCTGGAAGATGAACCCCTAAGGTCGGAAGGCACTCAAAACACAACTGGGAAAGAGCTGCCTCATCAGAGTAGAGCTGACCTGAAGTGGATAAAGTAGAGCTTTTGGGACCTCCATTTGCTGATGTGGCATGACTCAAACTCGGGAAGAAACAGCTGCAAACATCTATTAATAATCAGAACACAGAATGTGCAAACTATGAATCTAGGAAAATTGGAAGTTGTCAAAAATGAAATGGGAATGCATAAAGATCGATATCCTAGGCATTAGTGAGTTGAAATGGACTGGATTTGGCCATTTTGAATCAGACAAACACATGATCTACTACGCCAGAAATGACAAATTGAAGAGGAATGCTGTGGCGTTCATCATCACAAAGAATGTTTCAAAATCTATCCTGAAGTGCAGCGTTGTCAGTGACAGCATAACATCCATATGACTATAAGGAGGGCCAGTTAATAGGACTATTTTTCAAATTTATGTACCAACCACCAAAGCCAAAGATGAGCAAATTGAAGATTTTTACCAACTTTTGCAGTCTGAAATTCACCAAACATGCAATCAAGATGTGCTGATTATCAGTAGTGATTGGAATGCAAAAGATGGAAATAAAGAAGAATCACTGGTAGTTGGAAAATATGGCCTTGGTGATAGAAAAAACGCTGCATATCACATGATAGAATTTTGCAAAACCAATGACTTACTCATTGCAAATATCTTTTATCAACAACACAAGTGGCACCTATATACATGGACTTCACCAGATGGAGTACAAAGGAATCAGAATGACAACATCTGTGGCAAGAGGTGATGGAAAAGTTCAGATCTTCAGCCAAAACCAGGCCCAGAGCTGACTGTGGAATAGACCATTAACTGCTCATATGCAAGTTCAAGATGAAGTTGAAGACAATTAAAACAAGTCCATGACAGCCAAAATATGACCTTGAATATAGCCCTCTTGAATTTAGAGATGTAAAGAATAGATTAGATGCATTGAACACCAATGACTAAAAACCAGATAAATTGTGAGATGACATCAAGAACATCATCCACGAAGAAAGCAAGAGGTCATTAAAGAGACAGGAAAGGAAGGAAAGACCAAAATGGAGGTCAGAAAACACTCTGAAACTTGCCCTTGAACGAAGAGTAGATAAAAAAATGGAATAAATGACAACATAAAAGAGCTGAACAGAAGATTTCAAAGGGCACCTCAAGCAGACAAAGCCAATTACTACAATGAAATGTGTAAAGACCTGGAGTTAGAAAACCATAAGGGAAGAACACACCTGGCATTTCTCAAGCTGAAAGAACTGAAGAAAAAACCTAAGCCTTGAGCTACAATACTGAAAGATTCTATGGACAATATATCGAATGATGCAGGAAACATCAAAAGAAGATGGAAGAAATACACAGTCACTGTACCAAAAAGAATTGGTCAATGTTCATCCATTTCGGGAGGTGGCATATGATCAAGAACCAACGGTACTGAAGGAAGAAGTCAAAGCTGCATTGAAGGAATTGGTGAAGAACAAGGCTCCAGGAACTGAAGGAATACCCACTGAGATGTTTCAACAAACGGATGCCGCACTGGAGGTACTCACTCTGCTATGCCAAGAAATTTGGAAGGCAGCTACCTGGTCAACTGACTAGAAGAGATCCATACTTGTACCTAATTCCACAGAATGTGGAAATTTATCAAACAGTATTAATATTGCACACATGTAAAATCTTACTGAATATAATTCAAAAATGGTTGTAGCAGTATACTGACAGAGAACTTCCAGAAAGGCAAGCTGGATTCAGAAAAGGACATGGAACGAGGGGTATCATTGCTGATGTCAGATGGATCTTGGCTGAAAGTAAAGAATACTAGAAAGATGTTTACTTGTGTTTTATTGACTGCTAAAGTATTTGATTGTGTGGATCATAACAAATTACAGATAACAATGAGAAGAATGGGGATTCCAGAACACTTAATTGTATTCATGAGGAATCTGTACATAGACCAGGAGGCTGTAGTTTGAACAGAAGATGGGGTTACTGCACAGTTTAAAACCAGGAATGGAGCGCATCAGGGTTGTATCCTTTCACCATACTTCTTCAATCTGTATAAATCACTCACTGCCTTTGAGTTTCTCCTGACTCACAGCGACCCTCCTTGGGTTTCCAAAGAGGTATCTCTATGGAAGTAGACTCTCCAATCTTCCTTCTGAGGAGTGGCTGGTATGCTGAGAAAATAATCCCAGAAGCTGGACTATAGGAAGAAGAACATGGCATCAGGATTGGAGGAAGAATCATTTACAACCTGTGATTCACTGACAACACAACTTTGCTTGCTGAAAATGAGGATGTATCTGTGTTAGACTTGCACCACACAACTGTACTCTGTGTGGAGACCATGTGTCCCCTGGGCTCTCTTCTCCCTGTGTACTGATCTGTGTGATGCACAAAAGTCCACACATCGTCACCTACGCTGCCAGGTTCAACAGTGCAAACAACAGGCATCCAGGTCAGGTGTGACTGTGCGTGTTGTTCTGCCCACCAGGTGCCTGATACCCAGCCCAAGCAAAGCTGTCTAAGCCCAGTGGACTGGCTGCATTTGTGGGCATTTGTCTGACGCTTGGTTTTGCATAGAGGACACCAAATTCCACTCTTTCTTGGCAGCATTCCCACACTGAGAGAGCCCACCATCAGTATTGTTGTCAGCCTTGGGTCTGATTTTTTTGGGAGCTTCCTCTTACAACGGTGGGCTCAGGTACAATGAGGATCGTGGGGCTGGCACAGGACTGCACAGTGGTTTGTTTTGTTGTATATAGGGTTGCTATGAATCGGAGACAACTCAATGGCACCTAACAACAACAAAACAAAAACAAAAACAGAGTCCATACCTCTTAGAACTACAGGTTAAAACACCAATGAAATATTGTAACATATTCCTTCACTTCCAAATCATATGACATGGGGTTGGGCACAATGAAACCAAACTACCATGAGCTGATGATTGCTGAACATGAGTGACAGGTATACCACGTCCACTGGTGTCGAAGGAGGAGGGCGAGGGAGGAAAGAACTTTTCTTTTAAAAATATGTTGTTAGGGGCCGCTGAATTGGCTCTGACTCATAGAGACCCTATGTACAACAGAACAAAACACTGCCCGATCCTTTAAAAAAAAAAAAAGTGTGTGTGTGTGTGTGTGTGTGTGTGTATATATATATGTATTTTAAATATGAAAAAAGTCTTAATCCGTTGTGAAAAAAAAAGAGGGAGTGCTGTGTATTCTCAACAATGGTATGTATAATGTGTAACTTTTCAATAATAATTTACTGAGAAAACTGAATCTGAATAAATGATTCTAGCTCATCATGCTTTTCTCTGTAGTAATGCAGAAACAGTGCTTTAGACCAAGTCCAGGAGCTGAGCTGCACAAGCTCGGGGAAGCAGAGTGAGGATTAAACCCTCTGGAGAGGGCTCCTGTGTCACGAGTCCTATCTGGGTCGCACAATGAAAAACAGGTTGGGAACTGACAGGTGAGCAAGCCACGGGCTAAGGGGAGACCGGTGGTACTGGGGGTGCTGAGGGGAGGCTGGATGTGGGCACCCAGAGCCTTACCTGTGAGTAAGATGTGATGATGTGGCTCTGGATCTCATCCATCGTGTCGGTCCCATAAGACACGGTGCCCAAGTGGAGGCGCTTGAAGACCATCTCATTCTGGGTCAGGGTCCCTGCAAGCGACAGCATGGCCAAAACCATCAGATGAGTCAACAGGATGGCACAGGAAGACATGAAAGTTGTGCTTCAGTGAGGGGAAGCTGTGCAGGCCACAGGCCACATAGCACCCTGGCAACCTGCCACGCTACTCTTACCACCTTAAGACTAAGGACTCAGGTCCTCCCAGTGGGCGCAATTCACCTCAGAAACAGCATCACGGGAAGGGCCCCCACGGGCTGGAGAAAGCCTCGCAGATGCCTCAGCATGCACACGCCACCCAGTACCCAGGCCATCTTTGCCTGCTCTAAAGAGCCAGGTGTCAAACTGGTGACGTGACTCACCAGGTTTTAATGTGAACATGGAGCACTGCTGGGAAAGCGTCAAAAGGCCTGGATGGGTGTGTCTGTCTTTTTAAAGAACGTCCTTGGCTAAAATCAAGTTTTCAATTGTGCACAGCAGCACATGGATGCCTGGGCAGTTTTAACCCTCAGCATGTGTCTGTGTCACCAAGAACTGGGGTAAGGCTGCATGCTAAGGACTCTCCGTGTGCACAGGGATAAGGCCTGCAAAAGGCAGGTGTTTTCCTGGGTCAGCTCCCTGAATGCTGCCTCCAAGCAGAGGGACACTCTCAGACGGCTATACCTTAGGATGCCAGTGAACTTGGACCGAAGCTTCTATGATCCTGTGGGCAAGCAAGGCTAATACAACTGAGTGGAAGGAAAGGCAATTTAAAAGAGGCCACAAGTAATTCCATTTGATGACTGCACGCTTTCAAACACGTTATCAGAAAGATACACCAATGCAGTGAAGTTACAGCATGATCACGCAGGGGCATTCAGAGGTAATAAGGCAGATACTTCGAAAACCTGGTGAGTTTTCATCAAAACTAGCTCATGAATTCAAAGCATTCCACGTTTTAATTCCTATCATATGTGACAGAGGCACAGTTTTCCCTTCTCGCGGTGGTAGCGGTAAAGTAGCACCTGGTAGTGTGACTGTCTCATGAACAGTGACATCATGTTCTGCCATGAACAGGTCGGCCGCCGACACACATGTGGCTGAAGGTGTGAACACAGACAATCATACAGGCACCCAATGGCACAAACGTTGGATTTTCCACCCGGCTGCAACATACCCAGGAATTATTACCTAATGTTCTATTTCCTTCAGCACACGTCACTGCCAAGTGCTCTCCCACGAAGCCCAGACACCACGTGAATGAACTAGGATTGGTGTCTAATGCCAAACGGCTTACCTGACACACCCCTCTCGACAGGACACAGAGCCTCTTGAAGACAAGAGCCCGCATCTGCAGTGCACAGTGACCAGCTCCCAACATGCCTGCTCACGTCCGACACTCTTGCTCTCATGGGAACAGGAAGGCTTGGTAGACTCCTTGGACGTCTCCGGAAGGAAGGGCTTTCCCTTGTCATGGCCTAGGGGGCTGCAGTCTAGGTTTGCTTGGACATGGCGGCTAGCCATGTGGAGGGGCTCCTCCTTCCCGCTGGGTACCCCCTGGGCAGCCATGAGCATCAGGAGGGGGTTACCTCATCACTGATGAGGCTGGTGGCCTGGCTGCCGTGAGCATCAGGAGGTGGGGTGGTCACCTCCTCACTGCCGGGGCTAGTGGTCTGGGCAGCCATGAGCACTGCTGGGGCTGCTGGATGTTAGGAAGCCACCACTTGGCCTCCTCTAACCCCCTGGGTGGAGTGCACTTAGCCTCCACGGTGCACTATGCTTCACCAACCGTTCTCCCCAAGAAGCACATTTAAGTGGGGCCAGCTTTTTTCTGCTACCAACAGTGCAGAGTGGCTACTCTTCAGGACACTGGTGAGTCTGGGCTGAGACCCTTTTCATAATTTCTGTAGGATGGTTCCTTAAAGATGGGACCGACTGGAGTCACTCAAAGGGCCTAAAGGAAACTGATAGCTAATGTCACACCCATCTCCCAAAAGGGCACACATATTGTCATGCCTGCCAACAATATGCCAGCAGTCAGGGACCCAAGTGCTTTGCGCTTGCCTACTACTCTGAAGGTTGGCAGTCTGAATACACCCAATGGCTCCACAGAAGACAGGCCTACAAATCTGCTTCTGTGGAGATGACACCCAAGAAAGCCCTGCAGGTGCACGCTACAGTGCAGCACATGGGGGTGCTGCAAATCAGAGGGGGCGCCAGGAATCAGAGTGGGGCAAATAAGAGGGGGGGCACTGTGAATCAGAGTGGGCACCGCGAATCAGTGTGCGGCGCCACGAATCAGAAAGGGGATACCGTGAATCGGGGGGCACCACGAATCAGAGGGA